ATTTCTTGCTAATGATGATTTTAATCTTTAATCAAACATTTCATTAATCTAAATCTTTTCTGATTCTATTATAGAAATTGATAACTTACTAGACGATATATTATTTTATTAACTGTTCTGGAGATTCACGCTATAAATAGTAATAAAAAAAATTATTGCTGAAGTTTTAGAAATAGTTATATATAAAAACCATATTATCAATTTGGCGACATATATACCTTGGTAAATAATACCATAGCAATGCACGTGCTTAATACATATATATGAAAAGCAAAGGAGATGAGCCTCTAAGGAATAGTAAATGAACTGCAACAAATAAGTTAGTTGGATGTTTTAAATGGAGAGAGAGAGAGAGAGGAAATTTAAATCAAGGTGAGGAGATTTTTTTTCAAGGTAACAATTTCAAGAGACTAGCGGTGAGACTTAGGATGTGTTTGGTAACTCCACAAAACTCATTTTAAGCGGTACAACATTGGTCCAAAACCTTGTTGTCAGTTAGACAAAAATTGAGCCCAGATTGAATCAGTTCTTCCTAGTTCAAAACCTTGCCACTAAACTAGTTTTTTTGTGAATCGATCGTTATATGATTCAACATTGACCTAGTTGAAAACAAACTAATCTAGCCTAGTTCAATTTTAAAGTTGCCAAACATACCACGAAATCATCCGTACTAGGAATTTTGAAAGGGCCTTGTTCTCTTTGAGGCTATAGCTAGTGATAGGAATTTTGTTTGTCATTCCACGAAATCATCCGTACTCGAAAGTGGTATCAGAGCCATCTGCCGGCCTGGAGTCCTGTAATATGGTCTTTGTAAGTTCTTCTTGTTATTGAATATGTTCTAAAACTTTTTTCTTTCTCCAATCTCTGTCTTCATTATATAGTTTAGTTTTTATTTTTGCTTTGTTTATCAAGTTACACCTAGATGTAGAAATCGAAACTAGGTTGTGCTCTCTCTTTAAAGCAGCATGCTAGGATTGTGGTAACATATGTATGTAATTGCATGAGTGCTGTTAGTTCCAATTCGTAGCCTGGACAGAAAAACTACACTCAGGCAGTGTGTGTTTAGTCGGAGAGAAAAAGGGTCAAACCCTTAATCAGCAACAAATTGTAAGCAAATATAGTAAAACTTTAAACAATATAAGAAGAGATAGAGGGAGGAAATAGATAACCTTTAAAAATGTCTAACTAATTCAAGAAACTTGTAAGCTAAGTGTTGAACCTAAATTAAGTTAAAAGCACTTGCTCCACTGCCAAGACTCAAACGAGAACCCGACAAACCAGGATTTAGCATCCATGTTAAATTCTGCAATAAATATGGTTGAGAATGTTAATATTAATATCTTAAATCTTCAAAAACAAGTTGAAGAAATCAAATCATTGAATACAAGTAATATTCAAAGAAAGAACAACTAAACGATAATAATGAGAATTCTACCTAAATGTGGCACTGGACAAATCATCTCAAGATGATGAAAACGAAGGGTTTAAAAGACATTCTTCAACCTGAAACTTTTTATCCTTCAAAAGGATTGTGTTAAGATAATAAATACAAACTTCAATACAACAAATATAAGTATAAGATCTACAAACAGAATTTATTACTTTACAATAGTAAAATTAACTGTTAGATAATAATAAATCTTTACTAAACTATTATTTGAAAGTGCCTTGTTCTCTTTGAGGCTAGTCCCATTCACTGTCTGACTATAGTTATAGCTCCCAATCAAATATTCTCTCCCTCCCTCCCTCCCTCCCTCCCTCTCTATGTTGTCCCCAGTTTTCATGCTTTCTTCAGAATATTGTCCCTAGGGGTAGGAGTTGATAGAACACGATAGGCTAGCTATAATACTATCTTAACTATGTACTTCGGCATTCACAACTATAGAATTGTTTAGAAAATAAACACAATTTAATATTGAGTAAATCACACTAAACCTCCAAGAATTTTATGTGGTTTGAAGTAAACCCCCAATAACTTTCAAAATAGCACTAGATCCCCAATAACTTTTGCTTTTTGCAGAAAACCTGCGATAAGTTTCAGCATTTTGCCGATAATCCCATAAATTATAGCAAAAACAATGTAAAAAGGTATCTTGAAAGTTATTGTGGGGTTTTATGCAATTTACCCAAAAGATACTGGAAGTTTTCTGTAAAAGTTATTAAAGTTTAATGGGATTCTGAAAGTTATTAGGGGTTTACTAAAGAACACTGAAAGTTCTTGAGAGTTTAGTGTAATTTACGCTGTAATATTTGATAAATATTCTATGCATATCTGTTAATGCTCGATATCAAACAGACTATTAATCCAGAAGAGGATGCTTGCAGGGTGATGAAGGATGTTGAAGGGGATCTCTTCCTTTCCCGATTTTATGTCTGGACACTGAGTTAGAGTTTGCTATCTGCACAGAAGAAGTCGTGAGAAGGCGGGTTGATGATTCCCCCATGGTACCTTCGACGATCAAGTCAGTTGATGAACTTGAGCTTGAGTGGAGTAATAGAACTATGTGTTCTTATGCTATGTGCATTAAAGATGATGATCTCTCAGATTTAGATCAGGAGGAAAGTTTAGATTGTGAACCTGCCAACTTGCGTACCCCCTTTTTATGGTGAATAACATCTGTATTTATAGAGGATGCCAAAGGCAGATTGGTCACTTTATGAGTGTACTGTAAGGCGGTGGTGATGGGTGAGTTGGAGGTTGAGTCACCCTTTGTTCTATACGTGTCGGTTTATGAGTGACAGGTGGTTACTTCAATGATGTTGGGAGCCAGCAGCTGACGAGTCTGGTCGGTTTGTGAGTGACGAGAGGTCACTTCAACGACATTGGGAGCTAGCAGCCGACGTGTCTTGTCGGTTTGTGAGTGTCGGGAGGTCACTTCAGCGATATTAGGAGCCAGCAGCCGACGAGTCTTCAGACGGCTGAGGACGGAGACTTAATGATGATCATCAAAGGTTAAATAATATTGAGAAGTAATATTTTGGGTCATCCTCGGGAGGAGTGCCGGCTAACATTGAGTAGCGATCTTTTGATATGAAGAGGATCGACTGAGTCCGCCTCTCGAGTCGCCTTTGAGGAATGATGCCGACTCGACTGGGGGAGTGACAACTCGGCTGTCCTTCAGGTCAACTCCGAGGAGTGTTGAATCTCTAGAATGCTAATTTTCGTACTAACACTGCCTTCCGAGTTGGCAGATCGTGTGGGCTTGTCTGGCTGGTAGAGATGTTGACTCATCAGATCATACATTTGGAAACAGTTGTACCCCATAACAGTTAGCCCATTTTGCTTGGAGTCGGCTTTAGCCGAGTCCAAGTGAAATGAATAAAGCTCTAGACTAAAGTTAGTGCTGCTGATTGCTTTGTAGCATTGCTCTGATTAAGCGAACCAAGTGACAATTCTTGAGTTGGTTGTGTTGTGTCGACCCGAATGTTACGAGTCGGCTTGACAACTGGCTCATATTACGCCTACTGTGGGCAAGATGCTCGGGCCTTGGTCGATGAAGACTGGCAAGTCGAAGTGCTTTGAGTCTTTTTGTCGAAGATGACCAGACAATTGAACTCCATGCCTTGGGTTTACTCATGATGATACCAAGGTCTTAATGGCAGGATGATAACTCTGAGGCTGAGCTTCATGCTGGACCTAAGTCTTCATAATCCTCCTATGGCCGAGAGGCGACTGTGGGAGTCGGCCAGAGTTATGTCTTGGGCTTATCCTGAAAATGAGCCAAGGGCTTTGAAATCCGACTGAGGAGTTGAACGCCTAGAACTACGAAGAAAGTTGACTAAGGATTCTTGTATGGCCAAAAGATGAATGTGGGAGTCGGCCATAGGGTTGTGCCTTGGGCTTATCATGATGAGGAGCCAAGGGTTTGAAATCCGACTGAGGAGTCGAACTACCTAGGCTCTTTAGAGTCGACTAGGTTTTTTCCGATCCTCTAAGGTCGAAAGGTGAATGTGGGAGTCGACCAAACAGTTGTGCCTTGGGCTTATCCTGAACAGGAGCCAAGGGCTTGCCATGATGGTCGATGAGAGCCAGAGGAATCGAACCATATGTTGTGCCTTAGGCTTACCCTGATAAGGAGCCAAGGGCTTTGAAATCCGACTAAGGAGTTAAACTACCTAGGCTCTTGAGAGTCGACTATGTTTTCCCCTATGGACGAGAGATGATTGTGGGAGTCGGCCAAAGGGTTGTGCCTTGGGCTTATCCTGATGAGGAGCCAAGGGCTTGAAATCCTACTAAGAAGTCGAATGCCTAGAACTACGAAGAAAGTTGACTAGGGCTTCCCCTATGGCCGAGAGACAACTGTGGGAGTTGGCCATAGGGTTGTGCCTTGGGCTTATCCTGATGATGAGCCAAGGGCTTAAAATCCGACTGAGGAGTCGAACCACCTAGGCTCTTGAGAGTCGACTAGGTTTTGCTAATCCTCTAAGGTCGAAAGGTGAATGTGGGAGTCGACCAAAGAGTTGTGTCTTGGGCTTATCCTGAAAAAGAGAAAAGTTCTTACCATGATGGTCGATGAGAGCCGGAGGAATCAAACCATATGTTATGCCTTGGGCTTACCCTGATAAGGAGCCAAGGGCTTTGAAATCCGACTAAGGAGTCGAACCACCTAGGTTCTTGAGAGTCGACTAGGTTTTCCCCTATGGCCGAGAGAAGATTGTGAGAGTCGGCCAAATGGTTGTGCCTTAGGCTTATCCTGATGAGGAGCTAAGGGCTTGGAATCCGACTGAGGAGTCGAATGCCTAGAACTGCGAAGAAAGTTAACTAGGGCTTCCCCT